AACTTCTCGGGATCCTCCAAAAAGTCCACTAAAAAAATCTCAGTAAATGACCACCATTTTACTGAGATTATATTTCATCTCATTTCTTTTAATTCATCCCAGCTGATTAATGTCTCAACTTAATCATCTGCATTTCATTTTATTTCATTTCTCTCCATATTATCATTTTTCATAAAAATAAGAATATAAATTAAAATAAGACCTGACTTAAAGGTCTTAGTTACCAGGTCACAAAAATACCTTAAAAACAGTATACTGTATACATGTACATATTATATAGGTCGTTTAAGGTATAAAACTCATTTTCTTAATTTTTTTAGTTAAGCCAGTTCAATTCTAACGGGATAATATACTTTAAATGCCGTTTCTTTGTTTTTACAGATTAGTATAATAATAGGTAATAGCAGCAGTAGTTTCGTATCTAATTATTATTGAAACAAATAAAATAAAGTATTTTGTTTTTTACTGAATAACATAAAGGAGTCCCGTTTGATTTTTTTTTATTGCCCTTGTTGGCAGACGAGCATACGGCCTACCTGATGGTGAGTGGTTACCGTTGCCCATGGACTTCAGCAATGTCAGGGGCAGAGTCAAGCCGCTGCCTACCGTTAACAAAAAGTATGTGGCCTACCACTCTTATATTTGCAGTCGCTTATTTACAAATAATTTTTTTTTATACCTCCCACCCCATATTAATATTATATTTAATAGTATTTTCATATTTATCAGTTATTATAGCGAACCGCTCCGAGGGTGCTCACAGTGGTTCAGCGTCCCAGTACAGTGTGCTTAGTGCGAGTTTTTTAATGTTCTCGATATCGTAAAAGATATCGTAAAAAGAAACTCAAATTTGTATACAGTTGGAACAGCGCCCCTATTTTTTTTTGAAGTTATACTTCTTTAGGCGCGTTATGAAAAAATTATGAGAGTGAAATTTTACGATGCGCGCGCACCGTGACACAAAATTAACAGAATGAAGTTGCCCACTAAATCGTTCATTACAATACGACCGACGTAACTTGGCGAGTCTGAATATAGCCGCAGGTGAACTTTCCGAGCCGTACCGAGAATTACCGAATTTATACGATGTCAAGAAAAGGGATGTCCATTATGCGTGTTTGAGGATGTTGTTTAATCGATTTTTTTTCCAATTGATTAACATTTAAATAAAAAAAAGAAATAAATTTAATAAAAATAAAAGTATAACTTCTTACGCGCGTACATAAGTACACGCACCCTTTTTTATTGTTTGGATGGGTGGACAACCTCACAGCCCACCTGGTGTTGAGCGGTTACTGGAGCCCATAGACATCTACAACATAAATGCGCCATCCACCTCGAGATATAAGTTCTAAGGTCTCAAGTATAGGTACAACGGCTGCCCCATCCTTCAAACCGAAACACCTTACTGCATCACGACAGAAATAGACAGTGGTACCTACCCGCGCGGACTCACAAGAGGCCCTACCACCAGTAAAAAGCGGCAAACATAGGTAAACGTTCCAACTCCATACAAATTTGAGTTAACTTTTACGATATCGAGAACGTCAAAAAACTCGCACTAAGATTGAGACACAGATTGAGTCGCTACTGATAGCCGTTGCTCAGTCGGCAACCTTTTCCAGAACCTCAATATTTTTTCATTGTTTCTTTAATACTTTTATTTTTGCTGATTCCAACAAAATAAATATAACGAAGGAAAAATACATTGATCATAATTACTTTAATCAAGGTGCCGTGGCCTTTTGATCGGTCGATTAACGATATATCACAGACAGGTGCAGTGTTCGGTAATTACGTGAAGAGGGTCGTAAATAAACCGCGCGGGGTGTGTGCAACCCTCGACCCGCTAAGCTGTGAACTCGCCGAGTGTCGCTACGGGCGGCCTCTACTGTTTGTTCTGCACACAATCACAGGGCTCCCAGATTTGGTTTTTTATTTGTTTTTATTGCTTAGATGGGTGTTAAGTGGTGTTGAGTGGTTACTGGAGCCCATAGACATCTAGGTACAATGTAAATGCGCCACCCAAGTTCTAGTCTCAGTATAGTTACAACGGCTGCACCACCCTTGAAACCGAAACGCATTACTGCTTCACGGCAGAAATAGGCAGGGTGGTGGTACCCACCCGTGCGGACTCACAAGAGGTCCTACCACTAGTAAGAAGTTGATAATTATCTTTTAACGGCTCCAAGTGATAGGACTTGTGAAACTTGTTCTAACCATATGAAATGAAACATAGACGCAAACAAGTTACAGCCCGTAACGATGTCACACTCTTAATTGTTTTGAAGTAAAACTTCTTTACGCACGCTTGCCTTGGGGAATAAGACGGTAGATGCGTGACGAGAGCGCTACGAAAAGTGTGATCAGTCAAGGCGAACGGTAGTTGAGAGGGAGGTTTATGTTAGTGAAGATAGAAAGAGAGAGAGAGAGGTGCAAACACATATTGTCTTTTTCTTCTCTTTCTCTCATAGCCAGTTCCGTTCTGTATATCTAAGACACAGTCTAAAGCTCACTCGTTAGCTTTTAAATGTGTTAATAATAAAGATGAAATAAAACAAAACAATAACAAGAAAAGGAAGTACATACTTCGACGAAATAAAACGGGAACATGATCATAATAACTCAACAACTAGGTACTGGTCGGATCTTGATAGAATTGAGCCACGCGTGCCAGTGCGCCAAGTGCCAGCTATCAAGTAAAAGAAAAACCAATTCATTTCACCTTTTTTTTTTGGAGTCGATGGGGAATCCCAGTATTTACGGATACCCTGCCGACGGGGGTCGGACCGGGTTATGTCCGCGCCTCCAGTGGAAAAAGAGAGAGAGGTCGCGAACTGAGGTCCACGCCCTCCCCCAATTAGTAATAGGAGACTACGCCTTTAGAAAGGCGCGCTGGGCTAAGTTCGGCTCTCGCCAAACCCGCCCAGCTTAACGACTACCGACTAAACCTCAACGAGCTCCTCCACACTCCGGCTGGGTGGGGACCCAGGTACCGCCATGTGCGCGCCATGGGCCCGCCTTCGCCGGCTCCCACCACAATGTTACGTTGGACGGGATCTGCCACCGTGAACTTCAGAAAGATGTTTTAAAGTAACACATAAAAATATACAGTCGAATTCACAACCTCCTTTTTTTAAAGTCGGCTAATTAGAATAGTTGATCTTTTTTGCATGTTTTGTCGCGACCGGCCCTTGTAGTTTATAGTTTGATGTCAGTTATTTCAAAAAAAAATCTGCGATCTGACATCCCTAATACGTCATCAACTTTGTGTTGACGCTATTGTCAGTTCATTAATACAATATCATAGATAGTACACATAAATTAATTATTAGGAAACAACTCAAGCACTCAATAAAAATGTTTAAGGGCGTCGCTCGGCCACTAAATGGCTCCTCTTCGATTAGTTTCTCATTGCTCCTGTAGATAGCAGTAACATATTACCTATCCTATATTTTATTTTTAATGCCGGATTTTGTAAATTTTTAGAAACCACATATTGATAAAATTTTATCAATTTGTCTATAACAAATAAAGACTTTTATGATTTATAAATTCTTTTTCTGTGCTTAGTTATACAATAATTAAATGCCTTCATTTTAACAACATACCTATACGTTTGGGCGCATCTGCTACAAGATGTCACTAGTTTCCGTACAGAAAAAATATTTATCTTAAAGTATCGCAGTTTAATATTATTATGTTGAGTCGAAAGCAAAACTACATCGGAATGGTGTTCTGCGAGTGTTCTTAGTGTTAAATTGAGTTTTAATTTGTACTTCGGTGGAAGTTTTATTTATCCCGAACCCTAGCGCGTAACAATACTAAAGGGTGATTTTTTAATAGCTATAGGAAATTATTTAAAAAAAAAAACACATAAAATTCAGAAAAATGCATGAAATCTTTATTTGAATCGATAGTCCGGTCCAAATAATTTAATGTTTGAAGATTATTTCATGCAAATGTTGACCACGGCTGCGCCTCAAATGGTCCATCCGCTTAGTCCAATTTTGGCGTACTCTTTCCAACATTTCGTCCGGTATCTCACGAATAAATGCTTAAATGTTGTCTTCCAATGCGTCAATCGAAGCGAGCTTGTCAGCATAGACATGAGCTTTAACGTAGCCCCACAAAAAATAGTCTAAAGGCGTTAAATCGCACGATCTAGGCGACCAATTGACCGGTCCCAAACGTGAAATAAAAAACTGGATCTTCCGTCAACTTTTCAAGAGCCCATTCACCAAAAATTCTGCGTTGTGGTAGGTCTTTCGGCTTCAATTCTTGCACCAGCTGTATTTGGAAAGGCTTCACACCTAAATCCTTTCACAAAATTTTTAATGTTGTTGAGTAACGGAGGCCCAATTGCTGCGAACGTCGCCGAATCGATAATTGATGGTCATCACTAACACTGGCCGATACAGCTGCGGTATTTTCTTCAGTTTGCACTGTACGTAAGCGTGATGGTGGCTTAATGTCCAACAATGTAAATTTGATGCGAAATTTAGTCACAATAGCCCGAATAGCCGCTTCAGTGAGTCGATTAAACTAACCATAAAATAGAAGATGCGCGCGATGAATTTTCTTAACTTAACTTATTCTTTCTTAAAATTTAATAAATTGTAAGACGATTCATGGTTAAATTATATAGGTACCAAACTGAAGATGTTTGACAGTAGCACAAAACACGAAACATGTGTGAGCTGTCAAAATCAAGGCTGCCAAAAAGAAAATAGCAAAAAAATCACCCTTTATATAAAACGCACCTCTAATCACAAAGATAAATGTCGCTAAGCGAAATCGGACGCCGGATGTGCAGGGGAGTCGTTTAGTGCGGTAGGGCCCCATAAACATCCTAGGGACTGCGGTTCGCAGGCGCGGACCAGTCCCACATACTCGGGACCTCGTAGGAGGATCGGCATCGACCCAAAAGAAAAAACGGGATTTCTCTCGCGCGGGTAGTTGTAACTAAACGATAGTTTTGATGCAATTATTCCTTACAGACGTCCACGCGGTGGTGGGACCGCTGTTGGCGGCGATACCACCAGCGGCTCGCTGCTTGCCGTCCTACTGTCACCATCTACCACTCGCGCCTGCCACTGGTAAGCCGCCAGCGTACTGTTTAGCTAATTATTAATTAAAACACTTGCTATGTCATTGTTATTATTTAATTATCTTTGGTGTTGCTGGATGAACGTTTGTGAATGTAGAGTTTACACGCTCTTGACGCCACCTCCTTGGAGTCGAATGAAACCTTCTTGAAGGCGGAAGAATTTCGGAAATGGATTATGAAAAAGTATTATTTTAAATGTGGAACTTACGCACGACACATTCGCTTTCCCGCTTCTTTGTATACGCGCAACACGCGAATTAAATAAATTTTCAAAATTTAAAATATAAAAATCCCGCTATTTCCACCGCTATCGCATCATACCAGAACTTTCAATTAATATTGTGAAGTGCTCGGCTCCCGTTCGTCACTGAGCATGCATTAAGGAGCCCTACCGCTGGACGAGGACTTGGAGAGCATCAGGTGACGCGAGTTTTGTATATTGTGTTCTGTGATTCAAATTGTGTTTTTTCAAATTTACCGAGACGTTACTAATATGAATATTGCGGGCGCGTCACATATTAAATTAATGAAATATTTTCTAATGGCCCTCACGGTGTAGTTATTTACACGCCACATTATCTTCTTGTCCTTCGAGAGCTGGCTCCATAAAGTTTTATTATTCATACAAATTGAAATTTTATTAACATTCATAATTCATATCAAATATTCAAGAATTGTCATTTTAATATGCCAAATGCCTTGTCGTTTTAATGTGACATAACGCAAAGTTTGAATTTGGAAGAGCACGCTCGCCTTCTGATAATATCTTTAATTAAACGAATATTCTAAATTTAAACATGGCACATTTGGGGCCATCCATAAAGTACGTCACACGTTAATGGGGAGGGGGGGTATCACCGAAGTGTGACATCGTGTGACAAGGGGCATGGGGGGTCAATACTTTTGTGACGTCACATGTTAAAATTTAAAATACTAAAACGCAAAGTTTGTATGTGAATTAAAAATTTTAAAAATTTACAAACTTGATCTATATTTATTAATAATTTAGCATTCTCGCTATGCGATAATCTCTCATGCAACGTCATTTAACTTCTAGAGCGGCGTTGTAATGCAAGTGAGACACTCAAATTCACGAGAATTTTGAATGGTAAGGATTTAAATAGGTTTTATGAAATGTTGGACTTTATGTTGATTTTATTAGATTATTATTTAATAAAAATAAGTAAAAAATGAAAATAGCTGTTTTCTCTCGATTATTTTTAAATGCATACATAAATTTAAAAAATGTGTGACGTCACATCAGGAGGGGGGGTTATAAAAATGTGACAACCTGTGACAAGGAGGGGGGGAGGGGTTCAAAAGTCCTAAAATTCGTGTGACGTACTTTATGGATGGCCCCTTTCTAAATTCGATGAAATGAAATAAAATTTATTAACTAATAAAACGGAATCTATTTATTAATATGTGTAGCAAACACTTTGTATCCCTTTTTACGAAATTTGCGCGGACGGAGGAGTATGAAAGGAGATGGGAAATCGTGGGCTACAAATGTAATAAGTTGGATTGTAGTCTAAAAAATTGGTCATATTTTTTTATATGAGAATATAATTAGAATAGAATATAGAGAAGAGAGAGAGATATATATAGAGGAATATAGAGGAATATAGAGGAATATAGAGGAATATAGAGGAATATATAGAATATATAGAATTTTTAGATGAGAATATAAAAAAATCACCTCAATCCTTTTACTGGGACCGGAGAAAAATGAGAAAGTTAGTTTTTGTGGGTTTAGCGGTGTGATCGGTTTAATTAATCGATTACAGGATTATAAAAAGAAAAACATTGCACTAGGTAATGAATGCAAAGTAATTAAATTAAGTAGTAATTAAGCGATTTATACCGATAAAATGGGGTGATTAGGGACAATTTCCAACTTTATGAGCAATTTTAAGGTAGTTGTTGTTGTATATAATGCTATATCAGGATCAAAATGATTGAGTCTTGGGGGTATCTTTGTTATACAATTTAAAGCTATGCAATTAGCACTCCAGCTTAAGCAAAAAAAGCAAAAATAGGTGCTATCCCTATTTACCCAGAAATTACGGTTATCGGGGACAAAATTAGTGTTCATAGAGAAATTTGCTAGGGCTGGCACTCCTTAGTTTTAATTAATTAATTTATTTAGTTGCACCAACAAAGTGATCATCAATAAAAACATTAAAAAACTGTCAAAAGTACATGGCAGATGGCATGAATTATAGGAGCAATCGACAATGCATTGACAACAAAAATAAAAAAATATATAACTAAAACTTGATTACATTTTATTACTTATGATTAATTTATATTTACTTGGGAAATTATCCGCGACAGATTTTTCCTGTAAGTTGTGAGACAATTAGAAAAAGCATATATTTCATCACTTAAAGTTAGTTTAACGCAATCGGAGAACTCCGAATAAACATTGACGGAGACCGCGCCACCTTGGACATTATTGTAGTCCCAAAGGATTCTGTTTAAGAGAGGGTAAGCACCTAAATTCGAACCAACGGGCTTTCATATAAGCGGTTTATATTTCTTCGTTCTTAGTAAGTACTTAGGGGCTGATATTTTTATCTGAGTTAAGAGATTAGGTGTGTCCGTTATTCCATGAATTAATCAGGTGGATACCGCCACTATGAACAAATATTAATACATTTTATTATGTATTACTTAGACATTTTGTCCTTCTTGAGATTTCATTGTTCTTGTTACATGTCTGTGCAAAACCGACTTACATATGTTAAATTGCTTAGCTATTTCAACTAAATACTTATTCCTAATTTCATAGGCTTCTATTACTGCTTTTAATATTAAGGGATCATATCTATTATAAGGATTGTCACTCTTTTTGATACGTACACGCGAGGCATATCTAAAAATAGAAAACAGAACGTAACTGATAATATAAATATTTGCCAAACAATAAAATAACAGTGCATTGATAATTTGAATAAAAGTTCTAGACAAAAACATTATGAATAAGCCAGATTCTTACCAACTAATTGAAAAAATATAGTTATAACTACATAGGTAACCCTACAAACCTGTACCTATTAGTTCGTTTCCATTTCACTTATTCTCATCCCAATTGACCCCTTTTTCGTTGTTATTTGTACCTGAGATGTCCCCAATATCCCCAAAAACAACAGATTTTTACATGTATTTTTATTTTACCAAAAACATTGAAACCAATAAATAACAACTGAGACTTACCTTTAATAAATATGATGGTTCAAACACTAAATAACGTTTATAAATCACAGTCATCTTCTATTATTATCAAATAAATAAAAGAGAGCAAAGTTTCTAGCACTAAAATAATTACCACCACAGGAAGTTAATTTATAATGCGATTTTTTATAAGTTAGCAGCTATTATCATGCATATTCAGAGTTGTTTTGTAAACTTTCAACATTCTACTATTACACTACAAAAAATTTAAGATTTTGCAACGATTAAAAAACTAGTATTGAGCGTCGAAAGGTTTTCCTGCTTTTTTCCCCATTCGCCTCTCGATCCCTAATCACCCCATTTTACGGTACTTGTTGTATACATGTGCGGTATACGGTGAATTTAATTGAGATTATATACATAAATAAAGAAAAAGTATATTATTACTTAACAAAGTAATATGATTATCGATTTCAAATCGATTAAAATCAACCATATTTTTAGCTTTGACAATAACCTGACATGACGTTTGTTGGTTTTTTTTGCTCTATTCGTTTCGTGTTTTCGACGCGTTTTGAGTGTGTACCTGGCTGTTTTTATTTATTTTTAACGATCCTTGATTTATTATTATACGATAATAGCTTAATTAAAATAAGACCTAAAGGTCTTAGTTACCAGGTCATAAAATCCCTTAAAAAAAAAGGGTGCGTGTACTTATGTACGCGCGTAAGAAGTTATACTTTATTTTTATTAAATTTATTTCTTTTTTTTTATTTCAAATTTAATCAATTTGAAAAAAAATCGCTTAAACAACATCCTCAAACACGCATATTGGATATCCCTTTTCTTGACATCGTATAAATTCGGTAATTCTCGGTACGGTTCGGAAAGTCCACCTGCGGCTATATTCAGACTCGCCAAGTTACGTCGGTCGTATTGTAATGAGCGATTTAGTGGGCAACTTCATTCTGTTAATTTTGTGTCACGGTGCGCGTGCACCGTAAAATTTCACTCTCATCAATTTTTCATAACGCACCTAAAGAAGTATAACTTCAATTAAAAAAATGCTTCTACACTTGACAACGAAGATCGCTCATACGTTTGACTTGAAGTTGTTGAACTGGATTTGCTTAATATGTATATTTATTAAAACAAGTGAGAGTCGGTAGTTATATAAAATTATATATTATTTGTAAACCAAAACTAAAAGTTAATGACTTCTTGCTACTGTAAGTCTGTTTGTTATGTGAATTAATTATTTCTTAAATTAAAATAAAACGACAAAATACTTGTCAAACCTTATTGAAATAAACAAAAAACGAATAATAATATTACAATCAAAAACTATTCTTTCTTCAAAGTTAATAAGAACTTGCAATAGCTAATATTGCCAAGTACTCACGACAACTTCGCAGTCTCAAAAGTTTTCGATAATATTTTTTTTATTTTATTGTTCAGATGGGTGTACGAGCTCACAGCCCACCTGGTGTTAAGTGGTTACTGGAGCCCATAGACATCTACAACGTAAATGCGCTACCCACCTTGATATATAAGTTCTAAGGTATCAGTATGGTTACAACCGCTGCCCCACCCTTCAAGTCGAAACGCATTACTGCTTCGCGGCAGAAATAGGCGGGGTGGTGGTACCCACCCGTACGGACTCACAAGACGTCCTACCACCAGAAATTACGCAAATTATAATTTTGCGAGTTTGATTTTTATTACACGTTGTTATTCCTTCACCGTGGAGGTTGATCGTGAACATATTGTGTTAAGTACGTATTTCATCAGAAAAATTGGTACCCGCCTGCGGGATTCGAACACCGAATGCACCGGACGTCTTATCTTTTAGGCCACGACGACTTCAATAATAAACTCAAATAATAATAAACTAAAAATAATTTTCTTCTCCCTGTTAGTCAATCAATCAATCATGTATTTTTTAATGAAAATTAGGAACTGAGCTTAAACACCAAACAAATACTTAAAAAAAAAAAAAACTAGGTTAAAAAAAACTCTATCAGAAGTTTCTTCTTCAGGAAGATAATTTGGACCTTCTTTATCAGGTATATTATTATACCAAAGGTGTAGCTCTGCAGGCTAGGTCTTTAAAATTGGAAATGCAGTCATACCTACATTGAACAATGTTAGGCCGGTTTTTACAAACTTGAAGCATTTAACCTTCAACCACTGTAGCTTCTGTCCTACAAAGTCACATCACTTATTAAACATTAATTTGTTTCTCAACTCTTTTAGGTCCAAGATATCAGTAGTGGCTCATTACAATAGGTTCATACGGCTTCTTTGCTGTTTTTTTCTTGTTTAGCTTTCTATTCGATCTAGCCAATCTTAAAACATATCATAGAAAAAATTGGCATAAGACGCATTTGATTCTCGATAGCACTATGCATACTATCGACCTCCATATGTGTGTGGCCCAATTCTAAATACTTATGTTCAATCACCTCAAGGTGATAACTGTAACTTGAACTAAGTATAACATTAAACATAACAGAAACTGATTACGCTTTTGCATCAGCTCGTTGAGTTTCTCGCAGGATCTTCTCACTCAGCGGGTCGCGATTCCGATCCGGTAATAGATTCATTCGCGAAGCAGCTGCTCTTGAGTTGTTAGGTCTTCTTCGGAGGCGCTCGGACAGCTGTTAGCCAATCCCACCTCTTTTGGCTGAGCCTTTGCTAGCCCACATGTCCTGGTGAAACTGGAAAGGCCTCGGGGCCACCAGTAATCCTTCAATCCTAAAAAAATATAAGAAAGCCTGTCTGGTGTTAAAGTGATTGCTGCAGCACATAGAGATCTCAACGTGAATGCCACCACCATCTTGAGACCCGAAATCTAAATCTAAATTATTCCGTATAACGGCTGCTCCACGCTTCAAGCCAAACCGTACGGTTGCTTCGCTTCGATGGTGGTACCAACTCGTACGGGCTTGCCATACGCCATACCAACCATATTATCAGTAAATACAAGTTGGCAATCGTAGTCCACTGGTATGATTCTCAGATAACGATGTTGCCCGTTCTCCATTGTATCATTTAACGTCTTTTACACCCGTGGAAATAATGATGCTATTGTAGGTCAGGTGTTTGCTTGCTAAGTTGTGCGAAGGTTGTTCGGAACTTCAATTGCTCCAACATCTGGCTTCCTCGTCCTTGTTTTAAACATTGATTTCGTTGCATTTTGTCAGAAATCATTAACTTCTATAACATGCGTGGTAATCAACGTATCTCAGAAGCAGTACTTACTCTTTCATCCTGCGCAAACCCACCCTCACCCGGGTTCGTCGGGTTCGTCCTATGCCCCGTGTTCCCTAGACAAGCTGTTTTATCGCATTTCACCAAACCCTATATAACTCACTAAACTACAATCTAGGAACCACATAGCCTGCAAGAAGTTACTATGTTATTTTAATCGATGTTACCTAATTAAAATCGTGCCTTCAACAAAATGAAAAAAAATTTAAGAATAAATGATTTTATGGAAATCTTAATATTATGATTTATATTAGATTGATATCGCTAAAAATCATTAAGATTACTTATTGTGCATTTTTGATGAAATTATTCATTACAGAAACTAAATGTAAATATTGAATTTTATCGAAATACAATTTTAAGCTATATTATACTACACTTGTTTTGATAAAATTAATTACATGTTGAAAATGAGTTCTGTAATCTAATGTATGTTGTTTTCCAATAATTGTCCATTTAATAAAAATAACTAGTGCTGCTTAGTGAATCTTTGTAAATGATGCCTGACTTCCAAAGTTGCAATTATCGATTTTCTACCAAAGACGTAACGGCCTAAATTGGCCAGCTAGAAATTAGTGTGTTTTTGCATTTTGTAGAGGATGCGAAAATGAGCCCATTATAGTTAAAACGTATTTAGTGATTTTTTGCAGTTAATGAGTTCTTGCAATAAGCCGACGATTATCAATCTAATAAATAGCCTCACAAGGCTATCAGAATAGGTAGGAAAAAAAAGAACAACAATAACGGACGATGGCCTAAAATCACAAGCGATAGCGATTTTGTCGAATTGTAAGGCGGTTGTCCAAGTAGTGACGGATAAATGAGTCGCCACACAATAACCTAAATCTTGAAGTATAGATATATTTTCGATTATTGATCAAACCAAATGTATATATGACATAGGACATATCCAGCACCCTAAGTTCTCTCTACACTCGGTGCACTGTCCACAGCGGTACTGCCTCCCGCGACCGAGTCAGAGGTCCGACGCCGCGGCGAGAAGCGACCCATCCCGCCGGAGCTGAAGGACGACAAGTACTTCGAGCGGCGGCGCCGGAACAACCAAGCCGCCAAGAAGTCGAGGGACGCGCGGAGGATACGAGAGGACCAGGTATCGACCGCAGCGAGGGTACGGCGCTAGTGCGTGTGGTCTCCGTCTCCTTCCTCTTCTAGTTCTTATCTCACATTAGGCGAGATCGTCGCAGCATGTATGTCCTCTAGTCACGCTGCATGGCGCTCGGCTCGAATTGTGCGAGCGGCCGCCTGTCTGTCGTCATCCACTGCGACGTGCCACCGGGAGGAACCCTTTCTGTTTCTCGTTTTGGTGTTTTACTGGATGTTCTATGATTTGCATTTTAATATATATTTTTATTGCTTTTTGTTATTGCTTAGATTGGTGGACGAGCTCACAGCCCAACCGGTGTTAAGTGGTTACTGGAGCCCATATACATCTACGACGTAAATGCGCCACCACCTTGAGATATAAGTTCTAAAGTCGCAGTATAGTTACGACGGCTGCCTCGCCCGTCAAACCGAAACGCATTACTGCTTCGTGGCAGAAATAGGTAGGGTGGTGGTATCTATACTATCTGCGGAGTCACAAGAGGTCCTACCATCAGTATATATTCAGATATGAAAGTATGAAAACATTACGTTTGATTCGTTTCCTCACGTCTTCTGACCTGGTCACCGCGGCTCATGGGCGGAGGCGCATCCGACCTACTGCAGACTTGATTGAGGCCTCGTTTGAAGGACATGATTAGCGCTCAGGGGAGCTCATTCCGGGTGGAGAGCGACGACACTAGCTCGGTTCGCGGCAAGTGACCGGCGGTCGTGTGTGCAGATCGCGTGGCGCGCCTGCCTCCTGGAGCAGGAGAACGCCTCCCTGCGCGCGGAGCTGGCGGCACTGCGGCACGAGATGCGCGCCCTCAGGTCGCTGCTCGCAGCCCCCGCCGCCCCCGACCGCGACCAGCCCTCCTCCACCACGCGGCACTAAACGACGCGGCGGGGGAGTCAGTGCCTATACACAACTCATTCCGTCCACAGAGAACCCAACTTAATTAGAAGGGAATGCACTATTTAAGTTACGCATGTACTATCTATAATTGTGAACGTTTGTAAATAAAATAATAAAAAGCAATTTTTTTATTTAATTTATTTATGTGATGAATGAAAATAAAAACTATTTCAGAAGCGACAGAGGTTTTTGTGCGAGCCACTGGTAGACCCGGTGACGCGCTGCTCTCGTCCCCCTGCAGTGGACAGTGTTGGTCAAGTCTCTCGATCACTGCAATATCTGTAGGCTCTACTCTGGAACTAGCTAATAAAATGGCCTGAAATGTTTTAGTACACCTTAGACTGGTACCGATTTTGTGTGTCCAATAATTGCATTCTAAATCGATCGAATAAGATATCAAAGTAACTATTGGAAATGTTCTAAAGAATTGTAGACATGTCGTGTCGAGTATAAAAGCGGTGCAGAGACAACGTAAAGCTAGAATTGCATCCTTCCGGTGGGTGGAAAAAGCGGACCTTATCGGCACACAAACCTGGGGGCCCCAGGAACCCAGTGGTAGGCAAACTGTAGGAACGACTGATTTGTAAGCGCTTCAAGGACTTTATCACCTCGAAAAGCTTCTTCATAAATGAACAGTTTGGATTCCGCCTAAAACCCTCTTGTATTCAACAATTGCACGTCTCAGTAGGGCTCAACGGAGCGAGGCCCGTCTCCACGGGAGCTCTCATCTTCGATACCGCGAAGGCGCTCGACAAAGTCTGGCACAACGGTTTGATCTACAAACAGAAATCAAAAAGCTAGTCCACGACCGAGCCGCGTCTTTACACTTTGTCCATCTTCTACGCCATGATCTGTAAGCGAAGTAGATTGCTCCTTCATAAGAAGGTGACTCTCTACAATAACTACATAGGTACGTTGTGTCATGACCTACAAAAGTGTAGTGTGTTCGCTCACGCGGCCCGCACATCACACATTAACTCTCTAGGTCATCCAATTCCGATTCTGCAGGATAGCCTTCGGAGGACCGTAGTACGTGCGGAATGTTGGACGATTCCAACTTAGAACCGTACCTGAAGATAGAGTATAAAAAAAAAAACCTGAAAAAGCGACACGTCATGATAGCCTTATCCGTGGTGGCCACGAATTACATATCCGTCTTGGCCACGGGGCAACGCACAGCCGCCGCCCCTATACATATCTTGTCGGATCTTGCACATCCTCGCTTGATGCTCTTCTCCGAGCACCGGGAACCGTCCTCGTCGATACAAATGTAGTGAAAACAAATCAATGATCAAGAAACGCTTAAAACGGTTAAAGATTGCGACAGACTAAATCTGTAGATAAATCGACATACTGTGTCATCGTGACCAAACATAATAGGTACGATACGTAAATATTCCTGTAACTACGCACTGATCGTCTTCTAGAAGTAGTGTCGTATAGCGAACAGAACTAGAGGCCCTTCTCTACAGACGGCAGGTCGGACATAGTGGGCTGGCTTAGGATTTAGAAGTCGTCGTGGTGGTACTCATATCGAGCGTCGTGACTCTGCTGGTACCTAGCCGAGTCCCGCAGGCGGGTGCATGTTGTTCTGATGAAATAAGTACTTGACACATGGCCACGAGTGACTTTTTTTATTGCTTAGATGGGCGGACGAGCTCACAGCCCACCTGGTATTAAGTGATTAATGGAGATCATAAACATCTATAAGCACAGACAGCCCTAGCCTGCGGGAATGGTCATTTTCATAACAGATGAACAACGATAAGAAATTTCATAACTGTCACAGGGACATGAAGTAGATGAACTCTTGCCACTTGTACCGCATCCTTCCAAATTGACAAATGTTTTGATTTGTGTTCCTTGCGGTGTAGGTATGTTGGTAGCACCAGTATTATTATTTGAAAAACTGCGAATATTAAGTAACGTTTGCAGCTAATTTATTAATCTGTGTATGTAGGTACCTAGTGCCAGAAATTCTGTGAAATTGTGTTTTTTTTTTTTTATTGCCTTTGTAGGCAGACGAGCATACGGCCCACGGCATATGGACATCAGCAATGCCAGGGGCAGAGCCAAGCCGCTGCCTACCATAAAGTACTCTCCGCAAGCCTCGTTTGAAGAAGGACATGTCATAGCGCTCGGAAAACACCGTGGAGGGGAGTTCATTCCAAAGCCGGATGGTACGTAGCAAAAACTATCTTTGGAAACGCACTGTCGATGAACACAGACAGCGGTTCCAGATAATATGGATGAAGTCTGCTCTGATGGCGGGAGGTCCGATGATAAAAAGGAGATGAGGGGATCATCTCGAATATCTATCGTTCGATTTTTAATCACATTAAATTTTTTATTTTCACGGTATGAGGAACATACCGGTTTTACGGAGGAACATACCATACGAGGTTTTGAAGTCGTCGTGGCCTAAAGGATAAGACGTCCGGTGCATTCGTATCGAGCGATGCACTGGTGTTCGAATCTCGCTGGCTGGTACCAATTTTTCTAATGAAATACGTATTCAACAAATGTTCACGATTGACTTCCACGGTGAAGGAATAACATCGTGCAATAAAAATCAAACCCGCAAAATTATAATTTGCGTAATTACTGGTGGTAGGACCTCTTGTGAGTGCGCACGGGTAGGTACCACCGCCCCGCTTATTTCTGCCGTGAAGCAGTAATGCGTTTCGGTTTGAAGGGTGGGGCAGCCGTTGTGACTATACTGAGACCTTAGAACTATATCTCAAGGTGTGTGGCGCATTTACGTTGTAGATGTCTATGGGCTCCAGTAACCACTTAACACCAGGTGGGCTGTGAGCTCGTCCACACATCTAAGCAATAAATAAAAAATAAAAAACGAAAATCAATATGTTATTAAAATCTTGTTTTTTCACACAATTTACATCGAACTGTAATCATTTGAATTATTTCATTTTACAAACGTAAAAAATTGTTCATTCTAGTTACATTCTCTTAAATTTTAGGCTTTTTAGTTTTCATCCATCATTTCATTTCATCAAAGATCATAGGGTGTATTCACGGTGCAAGTGGAATAATCAGACGGTCAACGCAAATAACGTTTTTATTGTAGAAAAAACATTATTCAATAAATGTACAATAAATTGATGTGCAAATCTTTATGTACCTTCTTAATGTACCTAGTCAGGTCATAAATTCTGTCACATGTTTAATGTAAAATAATTGAAACAAGTTTATTCATTATGTAACCATTCATATACCAAAATGAACTTAACAAAACATAGATTCTTATGACACTAAAGTTTATTCAAAATGACCTCCGTGATTTTGAATCCTTCAATCTGCGCGGCCAGTCGTCTATCGCAGCACGAACGAGGTCCATGTCAATGTCGGCGGCTGCCTTATTCAAGGATGTCTTGAGTGACTCCAAATTGGGATGAGGCTTTGAGCACGCCTTTTCCTCCAAGTGTTGCCATATCTTGTAATCTAACGGATTCAAATCTGGACTGGAGGAGGGCCAGTCTTCGTGCCGGATGAAGTCGATTTCACGCGCCGCCAGCCAGTCTTGTGTGCTCTTCGCTCTATGAGCTGGCGCCGAATCTTGTTGGAATACCCAGTGCCTGTTATTGAACATG